TGAACGCCGAACCCCCGTCTTCCAGAACATTCTATTCCAAAGTACGGCACCGACGGGGTAAAAGGAACTCGGGGGCCGAGAGCCAAGCGCATCCCCGGCAAAACGGCGCTCGCGAGACAAACCTGAAAGGTGCCCAGACTCTCCTCCAGGTCAGCCAGCATGGACCACACCTTCAGGGACTTGTAGACGCGGTTCTGGACCGGCTCTGTGGAGTCGAAGTACTCCGCCTTTCTCGACGGGATGGCAGTGGCTTTCTGTGGGTCGGAGGAAACCGAGACAAAGCCGTCAGAAGTCTGGTCACGTTCAGCAGCCTATCGAGACTCCCCTAGTGTGTGTCTAATATTGTCACAAACTGTATGTCAATATTTAACAAGGTATACATGGTTAATAAATGTGGTCTGGTAAAACGTTCCGACGAGCACATGAAAATGGGCTTGTGTGCTCTGATCCGTTTGCACTGCGGACGGTCCTGCACAAGGCCCCACCCCCTCCAAGATGGGGCTCCGCCCCTCACCCACCCTCAGGATCCTCAGCGCCTGGTCGTAGTTCTCGTGCCGCAACTCCATCTCCCCGTACTCGCACCACACGCTCGCCAGGTCGTCCACCTGCTTGAAGTTCACCTTGGTGGCCTTCTCGAAGATCGTCCGTGTCTGGGGGGGCAGGAAGAGGACGTTAAAATGAAGAACAGGCAATCCATTCTGATCAGGCAGTCACCAACATCCACCGACTGGAAATAAGAAAACAGTGCAGCGAAATCAGTCAGTTAACCATGTTACAAACACTTTACCTACCTTGTTGTGTCTAAATCAGTATATTCAGGTTACACACACTGCTCAGCAGAAGCTAGTTTCCAAAGTGGCTACCCATTTATGTGTGTTTTCAATGGGACTCGAACCAGTAACCATCTGGCCAGGGGTCTGATTCAGCAGCACTCACATCATCCAGCTGCTCATTCTCCTCGTAGAACCTGGCAAAGGCGACCCAGAGGGAATGGGGCTTCCCCGTGGCCTTCATGGGGTCCACGGTCTGCACGGCCTCCGTGTACGTGTTGATGATCTGGGAGGGCGGGGGGTCAGGAGGTCAAACGCATGCCGCAGTCACCCCATGCTCCTGCCAAGGGCTCTGACGAGAACCCGCCACGTCCGGAAACGCCATCTCACCTGGTGTGGCTTCCCCTCGTACAGCTTCACCCTCTTGTGCCACTCGTGCACGTTGTGGGGATTCTGCCGCAACAGCACGCTGTTCAGCAACAGGGGGCGCCGTGTGATGAGCGTCTCAAAGCGCGCCAGCCGCAGCTCCAGGTCTATGTCATCTGGTATGAGAGACGGAGCGTCAGCGGCCTCCGCGTGTGCGCTAGTACTCAAAGACCCCACGAGTACCCGCACGAGTACCCGCACGAGTACCCGCACGAGTACCCGCACGAGTACCCGCACGAGTACCCGCACGAGTACCCGCACACCCCTTTGCACGCTCGGCCGTCCCCACCATCGTCACTGGAGCCCATCTCCGAGGTGGTCTCCATGTTGGCTGCGATCATGCTCTCCTCAAACTGCGCGTAGCTGTCGAAAACCTGGGTGAAGTCCCTCACGGTGACCACAGTCTGGATGGCCTCCTCGTACACGTCGCGGGCCTGGTCAAAGGTCACAGGGCAAAGGTTCTTAGGACCCAAAAGCTTGCATTTAGCAGCCACGTGATCAGCGTGTGTGAGGGTGTGCACACGTGTTACCTTCTCGAAGTGCCCGCTGCGGATGTAATAGTCTGCCAGGGAGCACCAGAGTTTGCCCAGCTGGTCGGTGAAGCGGGTGAGGCCGCCCCGAATGATGGCCCCCACGTTCAGGGACTTCACCTTGTCGGGGTTCTGGGACATGAGGTCGCAAAGCTCATGCCACAGCTGCCGAGGGACAGAAACAGAGTCGAGGAGAACAGTCACAATCAGAGGCATTATTTCAGTTTAGATTTTTTCCATGTAGTCTTTGTATTACAGTAAAATCCTGTTATAACGGACTTCAAGGGACCTGACAAACAGTCCCTTATATCCAGAGTTGCTGTTCGCCCAGAACACAACTACAGGACACCATTTACTCATGTCACACCCCAGCAGACACAGATTATGATATTGTACATGTAGTAATCTAACTTTACCTGACCAGATGCGTGACTATTAATAATCCCGACTGCGTATCTGCGCTGGATATCACCGGCACGCCACACACCTTGTAGGCGGAGCTGCATGTCCGTTATAGCCGAACAAAACTACAGCTAAAAGCGGCCATTTAGTTTCCATTTTCAGTGTGGTTTTATTAAGGAGCTTTCTTGGTTTTCTACGTTTTTATTTTAAAGATGTATTTCTAATTAGTTTTTACATATTTTAGCTTCAGTTTTAGTAATTTGGTTTCTAGGGACAGACTGAAAATTAGAGCTATTTTATTTGTGTGATCTTTAGATAATACCACAATACACAGTGTAGATATTAATAGGGTACACTAGCGTAGATATTATTAATGGTCATTAACCATAAATCAGTATTAGAAATTATTGTTTTAATTTTATATTATTCATATTTATTACACTGAACTGTCAGTAATCACTTATTTATATAATTTAAATAATTAATTATTTTTATTTATGTTATTATTTATATTACTGCTTTTATTTTACTTCAATTTACAGAAATGCTTTCTCACAGTTTCCGTTTTTGTCGACTATAATAACCAAGCTTGGCAGATGTAACAAAAACAAAGACAAACCTGGTAGTTGGACTTGCCCTCCTTGGAGACGAAGCTCTCGTCGTTGACGATGGCCCCCAGCCTGATGGCCGACTCATCGAGCCGACCTATGGACCGCAGGTAGTCGATATACTCCTCCGCATTCTCCGGGGAGAGCTGAGGCGGGAGCAGAGGACGAGCATTGACGGCAGAGCTGGACACTCGCCACAAACTTAAAGACCACGATAACAAGAGAGGTCGAGTCGCCCGGACCGGCGGACCTTGAGGTAGCGGCGGTAGATGCGGATGGCTGTTTCGGGCAGGGGGAGGTTGCGGGCAAACTGGAGGTAGAGGGGCCACACGCGGGCGTGCTGCGTGATGGGAAGAGCCCGCAGGGCACGGTCGAATGTACGGCGACTGCGCGTGATTTTACACTGCAGCACCAAGAACTGGCAGTAGTCCAGCCAGATACGGGGCATCTGGGAAAGGTGGGGGGGGGGGGGGGGGGGGGGGGGGGGGGGGGGGGGGGGGACAGCAGGAGAGTCAGTCGACACAGAAAAAGGTGCTTCTGTTTCAGTTACCTGTCAAGCAGAAATTCCCATCCCAGTTCTTGGGGACCCCTCAAAAAGTCCACATTTTTGCTCCCAACACACCTGTACCAGGTATTCAGAGTTCTTCATTGGCTGGGAGTTGGGAGGGAGCAAAAATGTGGACCGTCTGGAGGACCTCGAGTACTGGGTTTAAAGACATTGCAGTATAGGGTCCAATTGCCACTGAACAATACTGACAATGAGCGTATTTTTCTGCTTCCCCGGTCCCCCCCCCCCCAAAAACAGTAGGGAACCATCCTCTCTCAAAGCACTTATTGCGGGATCAGACAGGCACAGCTGCTATTTACACCTGTGGCCCTGCCCCTCTGCAGGCCCAGCACCCAGCAAACTACCTTGTGCATGAAGACCAGCGCTCTCTCATGACAGTTGTTGACCTCCTCGTATACAGGCTCGGTGATGCACTTTCCCTTCACCTGCTTCCTCCTCTCCCTCAGATAATTATACCACAGTTTATAGCTGGAACACAAGCATAATCGGGGTTAGCAATGAGACATTCAATAGGAACACAGCTGGATTAGCTGAACTCCCCATTCCGCATACTGTACACCTGCATACATACTTCTAAGTACAGAAATTCGAGACACAGCAGCAACTGGCAGATTTGTCAGCTTGTCATTATTATTATGTGACCGCATTGTGTATGCTTTACCTGCCGGGCAGCTCCTTCAACGCCCGCTCGTAGATCAAATTCAGGACCGATTTGGCGCCGTTCTGCTTGTGTTCAATGTAGCGCATCCAGCACTTCACCGAGTAGGGATTGCGAATGATCTCCTCCTCGTACGGAAGGTCATCTTCCTCCTGGGATCGTGCATAATCATACTTAAGTATGCTGCGAATCAAAGTTGCTTTTCATTTCTTTGGCAACTGTTAATCCCGATCATTCTAGCACGTCACGCAATACACGTGCAGAGTTTATAGCTGTGTAGCTTTAACTTAAAACACTGAAACTAGCTTCTAACTTCACATGTAGGTATGTTCGCTTAGCTGGTTAGTATCACATCCGTGTTAGGGTGTACAAGACGGGCAACAAAATGCGATTTAGACCCGAGGTGTCAACAGAGGCCTTCAAAGATTCTTCGCTTATCGAAACATTTTCAGAACAAAACAGCGGAATAAAGCAAACATGAACATATGCTACTCACAAAAATAACGTCCGATTTGCCACTTGAAGACAGCATGGCTTTATTCTGTACCAAAAGACACTTTTTGCTCTAAGAATATAGCATTAGCCGCTACGGGGACCAAACTGCTGTACGACAATACGTCGCAAAACGTGCAGCAGACGCAGCTCGGTCCCGCCCCTGCTGTAATCCTATTGGACGTTAGATACTGTCACAAGGAACCAATAAAATAAGCCGTTTCTAAATATTGCTGACGACCGTAAATTATTAATAAGTATTTATTAATTTAAGTTTATTCTGATGTAATCACTGTTTATATGTAAATATATTTATATAGCTTTGGGATTTCAGCGCATGGGAAATTATCACAAACAGAGCATATGTCTGCAGTAATGATTTCTTTAGTTTATGTACTGTGGTTCAGTGGGTATTTTGAGCGTTTTCTGATGATGTTCTTAGGAATGTCTTTGGGGATACCATGTATGCTGTAGCTGGGTTAGTTCTATATTGATTTTACAGTAGTTTCAGTTTCTCAAAAAAAGGAAACGCATGAAACGTAAAAATGTGTTTATCATGCATGAATGCTTTTTATTGGAAAGGGTAATCATACATTCTCACGACAACTTCCTCATAACCGAGGGTGAAACTGGATCTGACTCTTACAGTAACTGATGGGTAATTGACTCACACGCATTGCTCGCGGTATTACAGGACAGGAAACGCTCGTGGAGGTAAGTTACACAGACAACCTCTTACACAGACAGCCTCATAAGCTCCATGGTTCCATTCCCCTCCTTTTCCCATCTCAATCTTGCTTTACTTCTCTGATTAATATGTCTTTGTGGCTCTTTCTTCTTCTCTCTACTCTTTTCATTCATCTACTTCCATCCCTTTCCCCCCTTTTTTCTGTTTCCTTTCTCTCCTTTTTCTTTGCCTCTATCTGTCCGCTTCCCTCCCTTTTTCCTCTCATCCTCCCTACCCCCTCCTTCAGCATCCTCTCCCACTGTCCCTTCCTTTTCTTCTCCCACATCTTCATTGCCCCTCGTTTCCTCTTCTCTTTTCTCCTTTTTCCCATCCCTCTTTTCCTTCTTCACCTTTTTTTCTGCTTTTTTCTTCTCTTCCTTCTCCTGTTTCTCCTGCCTCTTTTTTTCCTCCTTTTCCCACTTCCCTTTCTTCCTGCATCCTTCTTCTAGCTTCCCTTTCTCTTTCCCCCCATCATCCCTGAGTCCCCCGTGGCTCTGTAGGCTGTGTGCATCATGGCTTGAGAGGAGATAATTCTCATCTGGCTTGGTCGAGTTGCCCTGACCAAAGACCGTGCTGGGGGTTCTGGTTCTGGGAGACTGATGAAGAGAGTATTGCTGATCCTCTATTCTGAACCCCTGTGGGAAAAATAAAGAAAAAATATAGCACTTGCTGTTCCATTACTTGAGCTGGAATCTACCTGTCCATCTATACCAGTTTTTCCCTACCCGGTCCTTGGAAACATTCAGACGGTCCATATTTTTGTTCCTTCCCAGCTCCATGCCAGACAGTCCACAAAAACCTAGACTGTGCGGGTCCCCGAGGACCGGATTGGGAAACATTGATCTATACAGAACCTGTATGTAACTACTTTACTAGGCTAACTGTAGAGAATTAAAAGCAAGGAATCAGCTATCCCGCCTAACTTTTAATGCCGCACAGTCTACCTATTCAGAAGGTCCTTAATTATGGTCCCTGTTTGTACAAAGCTAAAACCTCATGACTAAATGGCCTGTTCAGAAATACTCACCGCTGAAATCAAAAGTATAAGGAGACCTATAACTTCCACAGACTCTAAATGTCCACCGTATGCCAAATGTGTCAGCCTGTGATGGATGGATGGATGGATGATCCCAAACCACATTGTACAGATAGCCAGCTGTGAAAAGCAAACCTGAACTCCTGACAACAGCAGCTGGGAATCTTCCACATTTGGACGTCCATCATGGTCAATTCCAGACACTACATGTAAAGATCCTATTAGCATTCCGAGAGCAGAGGAGTACCTCTGGTCATCTTTCTTGGGATCCTGAAGGACAAAAAAAAATTCCATTCCACATAGTCTTATATAGCGCCTTTCCCAACACGGCAGCCCTAAATGATCAGGAACAGTGGCACGGATTGACACACCACACAAACAAGGCATCATTAGATCAAGATCAGAGCTGTGGATTACCTGTCATAACACCCTGTACTGAAATGCTCTTTTAAATACTACTCATGCAGAACTAAAAATCTACCCATCCTAAGTTTTCTAAGCCACCACTGTTTTATGAAATTTAACACGTCCTCCATATTTGTGCTTAATTACATTTATAGTTTGTGTATAATTAACCACCCATTTTAACGGGCCCTATTTATGTTCTGCATATGCGGAGCGTGTCCATCTTTGAGTTTCCTGGGAGCGACTCAGCACAACCATGAGCTGGATAAAGGGCACGGAAAAGGGACGGATGAATGGACAGACGGGTGGGTGGATTTTATAACTGCCTACATTGACCTCATGTGTTTATTTTACGGTCCACCAGTAACCTATCCTGTAAGCTGCTAGGACCGAGGACCTACATCATTGTCGTTAAGTCGCCAAGCTGTTGTGATGTTTTTTCAGGCTCGGTTTTCCCCTGTCCATCCTGAACCATTGTAGATGCTGATTGGAGACCCAGTAAAAACCTGATGCAAACACGTCATTTCTGTATTGGTTATTCAGTTAAAAAGGTGCCTTACATCTGAATATGGAAGGAGAAGATTTATTTCAATAATACATGGTTGACAGGTGAATATACTTATTCCAAATAAAAAAGAGTTATAATTTAACATAAGATGTGTGTACCATATGGGTCATAAGTATATATGCTGTCTAACTCAGCACAGACTTGGATGACTGATATTGGTGTCTATGGGGATGCTTGAACTCTTCTTGCTGGGGTCCAAATTGCAGCGCTGATCATCCATCCATTCCCTCTGAACATGATTGAGTAGGTAATAGAACTGGTCCTGGTCCTCTGAATATGAAACTGCCCCCTGCTGAATAAAATATAGACTACGTGTTGAAAGAACCAATCATTATTGCAGTTAGAAGATGCTTTGAGCCAATCACACATCTGTCCATCCATTTATTATAATGAGCCTAGAGTCTATCCCAGGAAGCTTAGGACACAATGCAGGGGACATGCAGGATGTGATGCCAAGACATAGTGGGTAAGTCAGGGGCGGATGAACTTTCCTGGGGTCCCTAGGCTGACATGGGTAAGGGGCCCCCTAATTGGGTCCCTCGAGCTTTTTTTTTATATAATATTAGGAGGGGTATCTAGCCAGCGGATTGATCTGCCAAATTTACTTTGATCAGCAGGGGGTGCTCTAGAGTGCAGGGTCCAGGGTTTCTCGCCCCTACAATCCCCTGGGGTAAGTTGTCATTCACTTCAGTATTATACCCGAGTGGGCAGAATGGGGATATTCTTGGCCCCTACATCAGGTTCTGCAGAGGACCCAGGACCAGAGTGGGTCACACGAGATGGGTTTAGAGACCCTGCTGGCAGTTCCTCCTTCCTGCGGCTCTGCAGGACAAAGAACGGGAAAGCAGCAGCAGTAGGAGAACCGCTCGCCCCCCTCGTGTAAAGTTCCTCTCGCCGAGAGCAGCCCACGGCCCGGACACTCTCTCGCGCCATACTTGCAATTTCTCACACGCTAGATCAGCCACATGCTGGACGTGTCGCGCTGGCGAGTCGTGTTTGAACAAACAGTCCTGTGATCACCTGAATGTATGTGCGATCACATGAGTGCCTGAAACAATGAGGAAACGCCGCACCCCTGTCACACCACTATAAAACAGTGACCTGAAAACACCCAGCCACACACGGTCACCTGATCTGACCCAGTCTGCCCCCCCAACTACAACCATCAATCTCCTACACGGAGCCACTTTCTACATATTATCTCCACTTAACTTCTTTTATGTACCTGTGAGCCTGACCAGAATAAGCGCATAGAACACAGATGGATGGATAATGTCTACAGTGTTGCAGGTTTCCCTCAATCAGAGGTGGATAGTTCAGGTCCAGTAAGTAAGAATCCAGACCAAGGTTTTGTTTCAACCAACCAGTTGAGTACTCTGTGACTGTGACTCTTTATACTCAACTGGTTGGTTGAAACAAAACCTTGGTCTGGATTCTTACTTCCTCGACCAGGATGATCTGCTCTCCATGAAATGTCAGCTTATTATCCATGTTCTCTAATAAAATTAGGAATGAACTCTCACCATACTGACGAGCCTGTTTAACTTCTCTCCTGCCAGCATTTGCACTTGCCCATCCTCATCATTACCAGAGGACATACGGTGCTGAAGTGCTGGCCCCATAGATGCACGCTGGTCGTCAAGACGACCCCTCTGAGAGTAGGCGACTAGGTTAAAAAGAGCTTCCCCATCAGAATCTGGAAGACAGAAGTAAAAGTTCTGAAAAGCAATATTAATTTGTGACATGCATATATCATGTACGAGGTGCAGTGCTTACCTTTCTGACTGGCATTTGCATGTCTGCCAGTACTTGGTGTCCTCTTGTTTATCGGGTCTCTGTCTGATTCTAAGACTGCCCCCTGCTGGATAAATCAGGGATTCCTCAATCACAGTTCAGATGACTACATTTTTTTTTACCTTAATCTGAAGATGAATAAATAAAATCATAAACACAGCTGCCATATTCGACATGGCTTCCTAAATTAACCAAACCTTCCACATTTTATTTTGCATTGTGTAATGTATAATCAGGACAATATGCCTGTAACTAAATTTTATACACTTTTCCATTGCCAAACTTCATGAACTGTTGTCATGCAAATCACCTAAAGTTAACTGATTGCATTATTAATATAAATGTAGCTCTGAAATCTCTTTCGAGAAAGAATGCCAATACAGTAAAGAGAAAATTACTTGTTCAATTGTAGTTGATTAATTTTCCCAGTTTTTACTGGCTTTGTAGGGTATACAGTGTATTCACTTTGAAGTGAAAAATTGTCATTGTTGACACACAACAACAAAATGTGTCCTCTGCATTTAACCCATATGTCACATAGCAGTGGGCAGCTATAATCTAGCACCCAGGGAGCTGTACCTTGCTTAAGGAACCTCAGTGGTATCATGCTGGTTGGGGATTCGACCAGTAATCTATCAATCTCTAGTGCACTTCCCTTAACCATTAGGCCTCTTTATCATTTTGGTTGAAGAGGTAGAACCTTTCACCTGAGCTTGCTGTCTGTCGTCGTTTTGGTCCTTCCTGTCTTCATGCTGTGACTTCCTGTCTTTGTGATTGGCAGACGCCGCCTCACCGCCGGCCTGGTTGAAGCACACGGGGGGGAAATGGGCCTTAATGGAGATGTCCGGGCAGCCGGCAGTGAGAAGGTTCTGAGATGAACGCCTGCGCTCCTCCTTCCTGGGGCCCTGGGGGACAGAGAGAGTAAAGGAGAACCGGTTGATTCATACTGGCTCTGAAGCCATATCTGCCATATTAACTTTACCATACTGATGAAACATTCTACAAGGAAAAACAGCTTAGCTATATTCAGCTAGTCTGCAGTTAGCCTGTAGTTCATAGGTGAACTATGTTTAGTGCAGATAAAATGTGTTCAACAACCAGAATCTGATTAATTAATATTCAAACAAAATATCCAAATTGAAATTTTTTTTTTACCATATTAAATTCTCCATTCTTATTATTGCCTGTGGTTACATACAGCCCAGGTAATGTCTTGATGGACACATTTTGGTTCTCAAGGTGACATCTTTGAGTGCTTGCTGCTAGATTTAAAAGCTGGACCACATCAGAATCTGAAATTTGAAATGACAAAAAAAAAAAGTTAATGGTCAAGTTAATGCTTATAGGGTCATAATGTGATGAATCACAAGGGCGTGAATGTTTTGTGCTGGCCTTTTTTATGAATGGTGTTTTTGTTGGGGATTAAAGCACAGCACTGATCATCCATGTTCCCTCTCTGTTTATGGCAGACCACAGAGTACTGGTCCTGGTCCACCAAACCTGACACTGCCCCCTGTTGGACAAGTCACACATTATTCAGTCACAAATTCCCCTGCTGAATGGAAACCATCCACCAAAATATTTTGTTTACTCTATAAACAAAATCTTATGACCCTGTACTGGTGATTGAGTGGTTGGAAGATGAAAGGATGGTATTATGTATAATATATAAATACATTACCCATCAGTGTGGACCTGTTCTGGAACCTGTTCTTCAAGCATAAAGCTGGGAATGGACGGAAATTCTCACCATGTTGCCAAGCTGGTTTGATTCCTGATTTGCTGCCAATTTCACGTGTCCATCTTGATCAATGTTAAACATTACATGGAGTCCTGGTAACGACTTCATGAACACATGCTGGTCGTCAAGGCGACATCTTTGCGTGGTGGCCACTAGATTCAAAAGCTGCTCGATATCAAAATCTACAGTAACAAAGATCAATGGATTTATTATCAATCAGGGAATAAATGATCAGATGCATTTCTTTTACAGGGAAGTAAAACATAATAATTGCAGTTTTCATATTTGAGAAATACAACCGTTCTGAACCAGGTATTCACTCATAACGACCTGTTTCTCCAGTATTTTTGTCTTTGGAGGTGTTTAGGATCTTCTTGTTAGGGTCCAAAACACAGCGTTGATCATCCATGTGTCCGCTCTGCACATGACTGAGCAGAGAGAAGAACTGGTCTTGCTCCATAGAATCTGAGATTGCCCTCTGATGGACAGGACACACATTGTCCAATCACATATTCAGTTACTAAACGGGGACAGCTAATCAGAATCCCTTTCATTTGTATCTAAATCGTCTTTAATCCAATTTAGTTACAATCAAGAGGTTAACATGCAGTTCTCTTAAATAGCAGTCTGTGCTCAATTCAAACATAATGTTAGGGATCTACAGAAATTCTCACCATTTTGACAAGCTGGTTTGATTTCTGTCCCGCTGCTGTTTTCATTTGTCCATCCTGGTCACTACCAGCGGCCACATGGAGGCCTGGTAATTTCTTAATGGACACACGCTGGTCGTCGAGGCGATATCTCTGCGTGGTGGCCACTAGATTCAAAAGCTGCTCGATATCAGAATCTACGATAACAAAGATCAATCAGTCTGGATACCAGGAGTTTGTGTCTCTGAAGATGCAGTACTGACCAATTTGATTCCTCTTTTCTGTTTTTGGGCTTGTAGTACGGACCTGTATGAGCAGTATTTTTGTCTTTGGGGGTACTTGGAGTCTTCTTGTTGGGGTCCAAAACACAGTGTTGGTCATCCATGTGTCCCCTCTGTATATAAGTGAGTAGAGAGGAGAACTGGTCTTGCTCCATAGAATCTAAGATTGCCTTAGATTAGAGATTATTCATTCACATAGAACACATAGAACAGCCTTTCAGAATAGTTTTGTTGTACTTTTAAATGACATTTAATATAATAATTATGAAACCATATTCAATCAGTCGATCTTCTCATACTTCTGTCATCCCAAACTTCCCAGTAGTGATGGCCAAATGAAGCTTCATTTTCTGTATTGTTGGATCCCACTAGATGGCGTTCTTGGTTTGCTTTAGGGCATGAATTGAGCCCTTTTTAGAACCGAGGGCACCATCTAGTGGTGTCGGAAAATACAGCAATTGGTTCATGAAGCTTCATTTTGCCATCACTACTTCCCAGTTTGTCTTCAAATACTTCATAAATAATCATAAAGTTTGGAACATACATAAATTCTCACCATGTTGCCAGGCTGGTTTGGTTTCTGTCCAACCACCATTTTTACTTGCCCAGTCTGTTCATTACCAGAAGTCAGGTAGAGTCCTGGTACTATCCCAATGGATACACGTTGGTCATCAAGGCGACTTCTCTGAGTACTGGCCACAAGGTTAATAAGCTGGTCCATATCAGAATCTACAATATGGAAGGTATAAAAACAATTTTATGCTCATATAATAATTGAACTGAATGTCAACCAATCTCTGCTAAAGAACTACAATAATCATAATGTAGCAGTAATCAAAAGAGTATGTGTGCTTTGGATTAACCTGTATGACTGGTATTTTTGTCTTTGTGGGTATCAGGTGACTTCTTGGGGTTTAAAAGACAGCGTTGGTCATCCAAGTGTCCCCTCTGTACATGATTGAGCAGAGAGAAGAACTGTTCCTGGTCCATCAAATCTGAAACTGCTCCCTGCTGGAGAAATTACATATCGTCCAATCAGGGATTAGGACACAAAATGGGAATAGCCAATCAGATTTTTTGTGTGGTTATAAAGATTATTTATTAAAAATTACAAAGAGTGTGTACATTCATAATCTGTTCTCACTTCAGGCATAAAGCTGGGAATTCTCACCATGTTACCATGCTGGTCCGATTGCTGGTCAGCTGCCATTTTCACATGTCCATCCTGTTCGATACTAAACGTTACATGGAGGCCTGGTAATGTCTTCATGGACACGCGCTGGTCGTCAAGGCGACATCTCTGTGTGGTGGCCACTAGATTCAAAAGCTGTTCGATATCAGAATCTAGGATAACGGAGACCAGTTGATTTATTGACAGTCAGGAAATGGGAAAATGCATTTCTTATAAAACTTGTTTTGTAGCTCCTGCTTCGATATCGCTTTCATGTGTACCTGGGCGTTCATTGGAAGTTCAGCCTAACTGCACTCGTCCATAGGTGACACCTTGCAGCATCTGCGTTTGCGATGTGCTATGTGTCTCACTAGAATGTCACTTTGGACAAATATGTCTGCTAAATATGTAAAATGTAAATGGAAACATTGTCATATATAATTGCAATTGAAGAACAAATTTCCAAAATTCACTCAGACCATTTTTGTTGCTTTTGAGATAAGACCACCTAATGTTAGGCTTCCTCATCATATGTTACAGTACTGGCAAGCAAATCTCAACCAGTTCTCATGCAAACTGGAATAAAATTTAAAAAACTCACTAACTCAGCAACATATCCCATGGACTAAGAGAGATTTGGGAATTTGCTCTCTGGTTTTCATATCTGGGAAATCCCAGTGGCCCAAACCCATTATTTGTGAGTCTCATGGTAAGTATAGCTTTGGGTGGTTAGTTTTTTATATACAGGAGTCTAGTACCAACCAGTATGACTGGGATTTTTGTCTTTGGAGGTGTTTAGGATCTTCTTGTTAGGGTCCAAAACACAGCGTTGATCATCCATGTGTCCGCTCTGTACATGACTGAGCAGAGAGAAGAACTGATCTTGCTCCATAGAATCTGAGCTTGCCCTCTGTTGGACAGGATACACATTGTCCAATCACATATTCAGTTACTAAATGGGGACAGCTAATCAGAATCCCTTTCATTTGAATGTGAATATCCTTAATCCAATCATTTTAATCAAGAGGTTAATATGCAGTTCCCTTTAACAACAGTCAAAATCAATCTATCCTTAGTTTATGCAAAATGTTGGGGATCTACCGAAATTCTCACCATGCTGACAAGCTGGTTTGATTTCTGTCCCGCTGCTGTTTTCATTTGTCCATCCTGATCAGTACCAGCGGCTTCGTGGAGGCCTGGTAATTTCTTAATGGACACACGCTGGTCGTCGAGGCGACATCTCTGCGTGGTGGCCACTAGATTCAAAAGCTGCTCGATATCAGAGTCTAGAATGAAGATTAAATGATTTATTAACAACCAGGAAGTTAATAATACTAGTAAGTAAAGGTAAGTAAACAACTGAGGTGTTCAGCTGTGATTTTTGCATTTGGGAAATCCCATTATTATTGCTACTATGTCGGAGGAGATGCAGTACAATCCTTAGTGATTAGTTACTTTTTTAGTAGGGGTCTAGTACGGACCTGTTTCACCAGTTTTTTTGTCTTTGGGGGTACTTGGGGTCTGCTTGTTTGGGTCCAAAACACAGCGTTGGTCATCCATGTGTCCCCTCTGCACATGACTGAGCAGAGAGAAGAACTGATCTTGCTCCATCGAATCTGAGCTCGCCCTCTGTTGGACAGGATACACATTGTCCAATCACATATTCAGTTACTAAATAGGGACAGCTAATCAGAATTATTTGCAATTATTTGCATTTGAGTTTAAATATTCCTTTATCCAATAATTACGATCAACATGTTACCATAAAGCTGTTTTCAATGTTAATGTGCCCTTACTTTATGCATTGAGCCTGGGATGCTCCACATATGTAAATTGCGTCACAGCTGCGGAAAGTATTGATTTTTATTTCGGCACTCATGTCAAAAGGTTAAAGCAGCCATGCAAAATTAGCAAAATTAGATGACTGACACCAGTCACTATAGTTTAATGTCTATATATTATAAGCATGAAAAAATATATAAATGCTAATTATTTTAACCATTTTGTCAACTACAGACGCTCCTCTACTTACGAACGAGATACGTTCCGAAACGACCATTCGTAACTTGAAATGTTCGTAAGTTGTTATTCAACATCATTTTAAGGGTATACGAAGGGTAGTACAAAGAACTAGGATGCTGGGAGTCCGCACGCTACGCTGCTGCGCGGCGGAAGTAGCGACCGGAAGTCGTTCTAGGCGGAATTGGCACGCAGAAAAAAAAAATTGATGTTGCGGACAGGAAACGGGAGCCCAACTAATACAATTTGGACTTAGAGTCCTCTTCGTTCGTATGTCTGAAAATTCGTAAGTTGAAAGTTCGTAAGTAGAGGAGCATCAGTAGTACATGCTACTAAAGGAGAAAGTGGAGGCTATATGTGTCGTGTGTAGTCAGAGCAGAAACCCAGTTTAAGCTTTAATTATATTACATTTAATTATATGTCGATAAGTTAACGGAACATGAGGTGAAGCACAGTAGTTTTATCCGAACGAGCGTAAACAAAAATAATGTGACTGTTTGCTGGTTAAAACTGGATACCATTATGGTCTTTTCCAACTTTTCCAAATCAAACATTTTTTGATTGATATCCATTATCAAGGCCAGTAATGTAGGGAGATGACACTTGCAGTAGGAACCCCACAGCCGCCCTGGGTCCGGGGCTTAATTTTAGGGATCTACAGAAATTCTCACCGTACTGACAGGCTGGTTTGGTTTCTGTCCCGCAGCTGTTTTCTTTTGTCCATCCTGATCAGTACCAGCGGCTTCGTGGAGGCCTGGTAATTTCTTAATGGACACACGCTGGTCGTCGAGGCGACATCTCTGCGTGGTGGCCACTAGATTCAAAAGCTGCTCGAGATCAGAATCTAAAATATGAAAGGAAGAAGAAAAGATGTCTTAGATTAATCCAAATATTTCATCATGAACCTAATTAAAGAAAATAATATGGCAGGTATATGAGTGTTTTGCATTGACCTTTATGAGCAGTGTTTTTGTCTTTGGAGGTGCTTAGGATCTTCTTGTTAGGGTCCAAAACACAGCGTTGATCATCCATGTTTCCCCTCTGTACATGACTGAGCAGAGAGAAGAACTGGTCTTGCTCCATAGAATCTGAAATCACTCGCTGCTTGACAAGATACAGATCCAGGGACAGATTAGAATACTTAATAGGAACAGCCAATCAGAATCATTCTCCACTGAAGTTACACGCTCATTTAATCCAACAGCTATAAACCGCAGGTCAATAGAGATGCTATGTTCTCTTACTTAAAGCGTAAAGTTGGGAATCCGCATGCATTCTCACCATGCTGTTGAGTTTATTTGCTGTCTGTCCAGTTGCCATTTTCACTTGTCCATTCTGATCACTACCAGCGCTTATATGCAGTCCTGGCAACGTCTCGATGGAGACACGCTGATCATCAAGACGACTTCTTTGAGCATTAGTCACAAGATTAAAAAGCTGGTCCATCTCTGAATCTAAGGGGAAGATAAGAACAGATAAGATGATTGATTCAAAATTTGTAAATCATTTTAGAGAGCAAGTCTGAGTGTGATGTGTATGTTTGCTAGACGTTATTGAACAAAATCAAGGCTGTTTTGTAGCTTAGAAAGTACAGTTCAAACCTGAGTGACTGGCATTTTTGTTTTTGTAGACACTTGGGATGTTATTTTTGGGAGCCAAGGGACAGCGCTGATCATCCATGTTCTTCCTCTGAACATGACTTAGCAGAGAAAAGAACTCTTCCTGCTTCTCTAAATCTGAGAGCGCCCCCTGTTTGATCAATTACAGATCATTAGAGTTAGAGTTCTTATTGATGTTAAATGGTTATTTCCCAAAGCATATATAAAATAAGTGAATAATAATCTGTTGACCAATGAGAAAAAATTTATGGGGTTACTTTTCATTGAACCTATTATCAATGAAGTTCTTTAAGACACATTGTACAACTGAGCTTGGTGAATGACCTTATTTTGTTTGGGAGTGCAGGAGGTTGATTCCTGAGTGGTTTGCTTGGAGGACACAGATCCAGGCTGGACCTGACAGGTGGAGGCAGGTGTGGAATGGGCCTTCTTGGAGATAGTTGGAGACCCAAAGGTTATCAGGTTCTGAGGAGAACACCCCTGCCCAACCTTCACAGGACCCTGGAGAACACATGAGGCACAATGACGTATCAATATTCTCTGCTGGCTCCATAGTCTATTTGACCTGATGACTTGTGAAAACCTCTGAAATGTCACCATCAATACCTTACGAGTCTGAAGGAACATGCCGAACTTTGGTTATTATTTGTGATTTTTTTTATGTGTACTGCAATGGACTTATTCCCAGGTAACCAGATATGTGGAAAATTTCACCCACCAGTTCACTGGGCAGACGGCACACATTTTGCAAATGAGAAGTTGGCAGATTAATGTCAGGAAGTACTTCACTCGGCCAAAGGAGCCTCTTCTCAGCACTTTTAAAGCTGCATATATCATATAACATGCTGAAGGGCTCATTAGTCTTGGCAAGCACAATACAAGAAGGATTCCCTCATCACTGACATCAATATGAAGAACAATTGACCAATGGACTTTCAGAACCAGAGACAAAAGGTATAATAATAAATGTGTCATCGAATTGAGCAGCAATAATGCTTTTTGCTAATTCGGGGTGCAGGATGCAGGAAAACAAGTCCCTAGCTGAGGGATTAAGTTTATAAATTTTTTAAAAAACCAACCACAAAGAACACAAACCCTCAATCTTCTGATCCGAAGTCAGATGCCTGATCCATTAGGCCACATGATCCACTCAGGCAAGCACCGAACTCTCTCATAGTCGGTGTTTTCAACATTACTCTATAGGATACCGACTTCATAAAGCAAAAATAACACGCTTGGAGTAGAGGGGGGAGAGTAGGAGGGTGGGGAGCACTTTCACACATCTCCACCAGCAGTCCCACACACCCCCCAAGCCAACAGCAGACCTTTGGTGTAGAAGAATCAAACCAAGATTAAACTGTTAATCACCAAACCACTGTGTTTCTCATGACGTTCATTGACTCAGCAGCATTAAAAGCTTACTTAAAGTTCATATTCAGTCCTCTGTAAGACTTCAGCTCAAACTCTATATGCCTTAATCACAGATTAGTACATAATTAACATGAAGAGTTACAGAAAATTGCTTGAGGTTCACCACTTTATGGTCTTTCTGCCTCTACTCCATAGCCTACTATTGTTGGGTTACTGTGCATCCATAGGATAAAGGATCTAGGCGAATTCTCACTGTGTTTCCCAGTTGATTCGGTTTCTGTCCAGCCACCATTTTTACTTCTGTATCTTGAACACTGTTAGAAGTCAGCCGGAGCCCTGGTAACACCTCAATGGACACGCGTTGGTCGTCGAGGCGACATCTCTGAGTGTCGGCCACAAGGTTAAAAAACTGATCCATATCAGGATCTGAAGGATGGAAGGGAAACAGTTTAAGACTCATAAGCTTCATTCATTACTGCAGTAGGCTCATAACGTACGACTCCTTATTGGGGTATGTTACTGACCTGAGTCTACAGTGACATTTTGTGTCTTTTTGTTGGGGTCCAAAACACAACGTTGATCATCCATGTCCCTCCTCTGCACATGACTGAGCAGAGAGAAGAACTGATCCTGATCTTCTGAAGCTGAAATTGCTCCCTGTGGAAAAGTATCTTGACTTATAGGGTCTGGAACTTCAGATCAAAATTATTTCAAGGAAACGACAAATAAATAGAGACAATCATAAAGAAAAGTAATGCAGCACACACAATGAATAAGAGAGGACACCTGTAAAAAACACCTAATCACCATAAACATCTTCTGTATATGCTCAGAGTGGTGGGCTGTGTAAAATTTATAATAGTTGAAAGTCTGCTAACCTGATGAATTGCCTTGCCATCCATCGGTGTTTTTCTCTTTGCCTCAACGCTCGTCATTGTCCAGGTCCCTCAATGTGTCAGTCTCACCACAAACAAATTGAAAGGCAACAAATGGTCCTCCTGTCAGACCGGTCAAACCAGAATCTGAATTCCAAAACCATGAGTGATGGGAAAAATGCAGAGATTCACGGGCGCATTTGTCCTCATCGAGCGTGTTTTGCTTTTCACTCTGCAAGCCCGCAAGGCAGACCCCAGAAGTGGTTTAAAAACAGCTTAAGACCTAAATCTATCTCGACAAGAGGCTCTCGCTCTCCGCCTCCCATTAGAATATTAGTATTACTAATCCAAGATCAAGTTAAATAATCCTCCTGCCTTCGTGGATGAGGTCCATGTGATCTGCTCCTGTTTTTAGTTTAGGCCTTAGTTTTGGGTCACCCCCCTCAGTGGTCTTCAAATCCTAGGAGTGACATGGTTCCCCTCTGGACTATTTGTGGGTGACCCAGCTTAAGCATCGAATAGGCAGATAGAGCAGGTCATGAGAGTCATGCAAATATTTGCATAATCAACCCGGATCTCACATAGTCAACAGAGCCTCACTGGCTGTTTTGTAGCCCAGCCTCATTCTTCTGGGTCCTTTCTCATGTCTGACGCAGCACGTGACCCTTTCAGCTTACCATCTGTGCCGACTCCCACTTCCTCCATCTGCAGCTTTGCTATCTGGGCCGTCATACTCACGGGCGGACTTACCATTCGACAAGAGTAGGCAGCTTCCTGGGTCCCCGAAAACTAGGGGCCCCATGAAGATAATGTTTCTGTGAAGACTAGGGGCCCCATGAAGATAATGTTTCTGTGAAGACTAGGGGCCCCATGAAGATAATGCTTCTGTAAATTATGCTTAGGGATATAAAATACTATCATTTAAATTACAGCAATGTGTGTTCAGGATAGACAATATGTCAGCAGTAATTACCTCACTTCGCACCCAGGTTTAAGGGTGGAAGATCCCAGCAATTGTGAAAAATTTGTGAACAATACTTGGGCATATTAGTGATGATACATAATTTTTAATTCCCTCATTTCTCTTTCAGCTCCAAAAAAGTGGCCCACTTAGGGCAACCCCCTACCCATGCCAGCCTAGCACCCCCAGAGAAGTTAGTCCATTCCTGGTTAGACTGGTTGACGCATCAATTTTGATAAAATAATTCCGCACAATTCAGGTTGCCAAAGCTGAATGTTTTCTGCACCTTACCTCAGAGGAACAAACCTAGTATTCCCACTCAATAGTCCCAAGATATGACAGAAAGGAGATTGACCAATCACACACAGAGTTTAGCTTTGTGCTTTGTGCTTTAAATAAGGGTGCACACATGGGGTCAATGATGCAAGCAAAGATAGATGCCCAAGTCGAAGGCTGATATCATTTACTCAATGCACTCAATTACAATATCATTGACAACTTTCATCCATGCCACATGTTCCGATTGTGATCATTGTAACAGGTCAGTGCAAAAACAACAAGAAACATACATGTGCATTTTTATTTTTAACCAACAGAAAATAAACGGACCCGCAGCCACTTACCAAATATATTATATTATATAAACTGTATATAGTCCATTTAAGTGCATAATTCTAAAGACAACTAACACAGAGTAAATAGATGCTAAAAAGCTCCACTTAATCGAAGAAGTGAAACCTTCACTTAATATCTGATGTCTTTATTCTTTGCTCTGAATATTTTATAATTTGCTCAGAAAGTGAGAATGGGAATAACAGGGCCTCAATAGGCCACAGATATAATCAAACCTGCTTCCACTGCAAAAAGTGGAACAAATCCAGCTGAATACAGAAATCATTAATCTGCCATAGCATTAAACTGTACAGGATGTGTGTCAATATGCGTAAGACTCTAAAAATGGCAAAGTATAGCTACAGAGCCAGGCAGGAATTTATGCAAGCGTTGACAACAGATTGTGTGTAACCCACAGCATGTCGACTATAGTGCACAGATTACAAGTGTTATATGTAATATTTAATGGAGGAAGAAACAATGTGCTGATTGCATCCTTTTGATGGGCTTTGGCAGACTGAGTTGGAATTTTTGGTAAAATCACAGGAAATGCCAGGACTGAAAATGCTAATTGCCGATGAGCGTGGGAAATGGCAGGTCTGTGACCGTGAAACGTGACAGTCAACGTTTGAAGACGCCACTATTGACATTGGCGAAGGAGAACGAAGCTCCACTTCACTTGAACGACGGGGGGGGGGGGGGGGCGGAGCATCCGAAATAGGCGCTCACGGGACGGTTTGATTGGTGTGCTGGGGTAAGCAAAACAAACGTAGGCTAGCCAGAGCTGCACACATCAGGGTCGGGCGCAGCCATCAGACGGACGGGGATGGGGTTGGAGTGGTTACGAAGACTGGGAAGGTTCGTCCAGGTTTTTCATGGCGTCCAGGAAGGTGGTGGGCGTGAGGATGTGGGTGGAGCCTGCAGAAGTGAGACTCGTGAGCGGCCCGTGAGCCGGGATGTTTATCGTAACACATGCCCAAATTTAGACAGTCGACCTCCCCGTCTTACCGATGAGGACTTCCCACTTGCCGTCGGTGGCGCGTGTGACCTCGTACGCGCTCCGCATCTCTGAGAGAGTCACGCCCCCAATCACGAAGACGATGAGCCGGGGGCCGCTGCGGGACTCCGCCGCTGGCTTGCTCTTGTGCCAGATTCCGACTCGCGCGCTGTGGAGAAGCAAAACAGTAGGTCAACACACGCACGCACGCACGCACGCACGCACGCACGCACGCACGCACGCACGCACGCACGGTCTCTGTTCTCGGCTGACATTAATGACATGCCCTCCAATCACAATACCTAACCGCACATGTGCCCAAAAATCTTCGCTGGCCAGCCTAGGTGCGCCTCTTCCTGTGGAACCATAAAGACCAGCACCCACCTGACGGCAGTCTGTGTGGTGGAGATGGGAGCTGGGTCTGAGATAAACGGCCACAGCTTCCTGTCCAGCTTGTCTTCAATAGCATTCTGGGAAAAGAAAAAGGTCATATGTAGGCTAGAGAGGAAGACAGGCCGGCTGAAAGTTATAGTGCCGATTCAGATAAGGAAACAGCTTCCTACCTCCATCACGTCTTTAATGATGGGTGACCATCGGGAGAGCTGGTATGTGCTCTCTGAACGCTCTTTCCTGGCAGGTAGCACTTTCCCAGAATTAGCCCCCTGAAGCAGCCCCAGACAGACAAGGTTAGTCCAACTGGAACCCTAATTGAACATTACTATTGCACCTGGAGAAGACCTGCAGCTAGAACTGCGCTTTGGATCAGATATGCAGGCTTCACTTCTCACTGCATCTACAGAACGTCTCAGAGAGAAGAAGAAGCTTCAGAGAGATTGAGGGCCTCGGTATTAGGAGGAGAATCACCAAATCATACTTTTTGCAGGAAACTTTATCTTACCATAATTAAATAATAGTACAATATGCGAGTATAACTGATTCACAGACTGATTAATCACCTAATAATACGGACTCATTCATTTTATATCAAGCAGCTTTGGACTGCAGGACCGACGATTTGGAATCAGCCTCCACTGATGGTGCTGGATGTCGACTCGAGTTCTTACCCCAGAGACTATGCAGCAGCCCAGCCGTTGGAAGTTGGTGATGATGTGGCTGTCCTGCTGGACGTTGGCATGCTGGATGAGCTTGGTCACCTTCTCCTCACCGATGCCTGAGTGGAGACCGATAACCGTGACTACCACACGGCAACCAGGCCATGGTGTCCACAAGCTAATGGCTGATTCTGAAACAAGCAGCTGAGTGATGAGAGATTACTCGTTGTGTATCTGGACTGATTTTTCAGTCTCCTTTCTGGGGTGACGTGTGGTCAACTGTTCAAATCCTGTGGTTTACAGAAAGGTTTCACCATTGGGACTTTGAGCAAGGCCCTTAACCCTGTCTAACCCCTGCTCTCTCAAAAGAAATATGTCACTTTGGATAAAAGCATCTGGTAAATAAATTTAAAAAAATAAATGCAAACAACACTGCCTCTTGAATTAAAACCAATTATTCTTGGTTTTAGAATATTCAAAGTTTTAGAATAAATTCTGCATGGGCAGAACTTGGCAGATGCACGTACGAGTATTACGCGTGAAGGTCTGTCCTTCTGCTTGCAAAAGAATGCAAAAACACAGACACATCCTTCCTCTTGTGAAAGGTTTGGAGCCATTATGGAGACTTACCCTTCTTGTGAAATATGTAGAGCAGAATGATGCGGATTTTATCATACGGATGGATCTCGCTGTTCAGCAGCACAGGAACAATGCTGGTCATGGCTTCCTTGATGGGTTGACCCTCAGCGTCAGTACCCATAGCCAAGTCCTGAACAGGGAGTGAGGGTGGGTAGAATTTAAAAAAAAAAAAAAACACACAACTGTTTAATCCCTGCCTCTGAGGCAGATTACTCTGACCAGTTTTGCAGTGAACACTGGCATTTGCAGTTGACATAATACAGTTCCAGTGCACGGATATCAAGGCTGACAATGCTACAGAAGAAATAACCATTAAATGTCACACATTCAGCAAAAAAGTAGCTCAAGTGAAAATGACATCCAAACCAGAATGGATTTGGATTGTGAGAAAATGGCAGCTTTTTGCACGTTTGTGCACGAGGCCTAAATGGTGAACACACTTCCTGCACACAAGAGAACGTTCTGGAAATGTTTTAATGAAGCCATCCTATGGCCTTTCCCCTTTGCAGACATACTGAGGATCCAGATACTGTACCGTAGTCAAAGGTTGTCAAAGGAAATGGTTCAAGCTATTTATCTGGGTAGTAAATGTATATCTGTTCTCCAAACAGTTACTGACGCCAAATACTGGGGTGATGACAGGTTTTGAAATGGCTAAGCCGACGTACTTTGACAGACATAAAAGTGTAGCTTGACACCGTCATTTAAACATCATTTCTTTTGACTGTCAGACTTATGCATAGTACTGTACATCTAGCAGGAAGTGCTTTAAGGGGCTTCAAATCCAGACACGTGGTGCGATCGTGGCGTGCACGTGCCGTAAATCTTTAAGTGGTTTATTCTGACTGATGAAAATGATATATGTGTCTGACCTGAGCAGGTCAAAGTGTCATGTTCCTTCTGTGTGACTGATTATCTCTGTGGTTGGCTGGAGTGCTGGTTACGAATGATGTAAGACACCAGAAACCACATGGGGTAGTACGAAGGGTGCTGATTGGTCAGAGTCTGTGGGAACATCTTTAAGTAGCCAAGTTGGACTGATCAATTCAAATTCGAAAGTCATAGCTCTGACCTGTTCGACCTCACAGAGCTTGTCCACGTTGACTTTGAACTTCTTCATGCAGGCCTCAGCTAGGTGAAGATGGGTGGAATACTGCAGTAGAGGATAGCAGAGTTTGCATCGAGCACAAAGAAACACAATAAGTGGTGATTATGTGACAATCTGTCAACCACCAGCCAAAATGGACAGAATTAGGGACAGGAGTGGGATGACTGCATGAAACAATGACTTACCAGACTGAGCTCTTTCTGGTACTGAGGCATCTTCTTGACCATCTGAGAGAGGTCCTTGATGTTGGCCTAGTGGAGTAAATAAGAACATAATTACATAAGAAAAGAAATTTACAAAAGAGGAGGTCATTCGGCCCATCTAGCTCATTTGGGGAGAACTTAACTAATAGTTCAGAGTCGTTGAAATCTTATCTAGCTCTGATTTAAAGGAACCCCGGGTTTTAGCTTGCGCTACACTAGCAGGAAGACTATTCCATACTCTAACAACACACCGTGTAAAGAAGTGCTTCCTCAAATCCAGTTTTAACTATTCTCCCGCTAATTTCTTCCTATGGCCACGAGTTCTTGTATTTGAAGTAATATTGAAGTATTTGGTTGAACAGCATCAAGACTTGTAAGAATTTTATATACCCAGATCATGCCCCCCCCTTAGCCTCCTTTGCTAGAGGCTGAACAGATTCAGCTCAGCTAACCTCTAATCATAAGATGTTCCTCTAAGACAAGACATCATTCTTATAGCCTTACGTTGAACCCTTTCTAAGGCAGAAATGTCCTTTTTAAGGAATGGTAACCAAACCTGCACACAATATTCTAGGTGGGGTCTTACCAACAAATTGTATAATCTTAGCATCACCTCCCTTGACTCCACACACCTAGAGAGAGATGTAACCCAACATCCTATTGGCCTTTTTAATTGCTTCCCCACATTGGCGAGAGTAGGACATGAAAGCATCAACATACAAACCAAGGTCTTTCTCATAATCATCTTTATTTCAGTGGAACCCATAAAATATATGTACTTAATATTTCTGCTCCCTGCTTGGATTACCTTACATTTGTCTACATTAAATTTCATCTGCCAGGTATCAGTCGAGTCGCTAATTAAATCAGGATCCCACTGTAGCCTCTGTGCTGCTAGTTCAATATCTGCTACACCACCCACCTTGGTGTTGTCTGCAAATTTGACCAGTTTGCTGTGTGTGTATATATATACAACATTCTTGGGCTGTACTTGACTTTGGGTTGTTATATATATATATATATATATATATATATATATATAAACAACCCAAAGTCAAGTACAGCCCAAGAATGTTGGAGTCACTTAAGACAATTGATGAAAAGTCAGCCTGAGTGCGGAGTGGCGTACCTTGTCAGTGGACATTCTCTTACTTTCACAGAAGTTCCGTAAAAGTTCTATCACCTTCCTATCTCAAAGGAAGACAATGATCAGAACACTCTAGATCCACACATTAACAGAAAATTATGTCTGTCTGTGGAATTGATGTCGCAAAGAGTGATGTCATCAAAACATCAAGACACACTTAGGGACTACATTTGCACGGACGTATGGTTCCTACTTTGTGACATCAGCAATGTGCATGTGCCTCAGCTGGACCCAGAGATCATCATCCTCATCCAGGAGAACCTCTTTTTCAAGGGAATCCCCAAGTCCCGTTGTCTGGTACCTGAGACATGAATAATTACACAAGATGAAGTAATGTAGTGCACCGTCACTGCTCAGATACAAACCCTCCTCCAGTACTCATGACGACGTGGACTTAATTTAAGGTTTGCTAAAGCTTCTGCTGTAGATTAAGTGTGAGACGTGAACTATGCTTTTATGTGCTGCGGAATGCAAAAGTGTGCAGAGTGTAATTATGAGATGTATAGTAGGTGTACTGCTGTAGTAGAGGTACAGGGAAGCGTGGTAGAAGCTCACTTGTAGATGTCCTGCTGAATGTCCAAAAGGTCATAGGCCATGGCCTGGAAGGTCAGCTCGTGCAGGATGGGCGACACGGGGTCAAACCCACGATTGACGATCAGGAGCTGAGAGCGAGCTTTGTCCACACCCTGGCAGCAAAACACAAAACCCAATCCTATGACTGGACCTTCCCACTTCTTCAGTTATAAATATTAGGGCTGGGCGATATGATCATATTATCGCTAATTGACGATATCAGACGACAATTAACCCGGTATCGGTATTTGACAGTAATTAACCTGCGATTATCACCTTTGTAAGGAAAAGTAGGCCAAGCTTACACACAAAGAAAGCTTACACACAAAATAATCGATCGATCGATACTTTATACTTATTGATCCCCATGGGGAAATTGTCTTTATGCCTCCTTCAACTTGCTCTTTATAGAGTAAGTTGTCCGCGAAGGGCAGCCACCCGTAGTGGCGCCCAGGGAGCTGGGGGTTAAGGGCCTTGCTCAAGGACCCGCAGACGTGTTGAGGCTGGGTTTGAACCAGCGACCTTCTGATTACAAGAGACACAGGTTTAGCCCACTGAGCCACACGCTGCCCCAGGCCTGTAATATTTTAGTTATCGCTAGGGCTGTCGCGATAACATCACAATCTATTAGCGATTACATGACACATGCACAATCATCACCAGGGCTTTAGATGATGGGCAAAACATTTGTCCGGATGCTGGCTTTTCGGCACTGTACCGATATTTACTTACACCCACAGTTTGGTATGCAGCTTAGTGGTGCACCTAAAATATTAATAAGATGCGTACTGTGACACACAAACGTTAGTGATCTGTATAAATTCAACACATCCTTATGTTTATTTACAGTTAGCTTCACTATGGTGCCGCACAACCGAGCACAAGCAATCCAGAAGCTTTGGTGATCCATGGCGGGGAGGAAACATGGGAGAGACAGGAAAGAAGGATTACATGCCTTTGGAGATCCATCCAAAAGAGGAAGCTTTTCAGGCAATCACAAGAGAGGAGAACTGGAGATAAAAGCGAGAGAGAGAAGAAAATACAGGAAGGGAGGAAAAAGCCAACAACAGCTTAGACCAATGATTCCCAACAAACGCATGCAAGCTGAGAGGGAGCAAAAATGTGAACCGTCTGGGGTCCCTGAGGACTGGGTTGGGAAACACTGGCTTTTTAAAATGGCAAAAACAGATACTGGGAGAAGAGCAAAGTATTCTTCAGTGTCAAATAAATCATCTTAACTGTCAGAATGGCCCTGGTACAATTCCTTCCCAAATTAAACCTCAAAGGAGCTGGCAGGGCAGTTGGGAGTGGGGGGGGGGGGGTGGTAATGCCTGCGACCAAAAAAACTGCCTCCTGGAGCTTGAAGCAGCAAACTACTGTCCCATTTTTTACAAGGATGCATACAGGAAGTACCCAACTGTATGCACAAGCAATAAAGGCATCTAATAAACTACTGGATATGTTTTGTTTGGGGCTGTGGTGGGGGCACAATGCTTACCTCCCCCATACTGGGATTATCGGCTTTGTGGGCAATCAGTCGATCGTGCACCATCTCAGCAAGCTTGGCGTTCTCCTCCGGGCCACTGAGGCAGAGAGCAGGCATCTTTATACACACTTACGAGGCACCACAGAATTAGCACCAGCGGATGGACGCGAGCGGCCATGCTGTCGCGCTAACTGTCGCTGTGTCGGCCCTCACTGGCGGTAGCGGATGGCGGGATACTCCTTCAGCGTGTCGCAGAGCGTGGCGATCTGCTCGGCCAGCGCCTCCAGCCTCTTGGTCCGCTCCTCTGCAGGTACTTTTCCGTAGAACAGATGGAAGGAGCTGGGATCATCTAATGAGAACACCTGCAGGAAGAGGGAGGGGCGGGGTCAGGGGAAGGAGTCAACAGTGACCAATGACAGACTGCTGTGAAACTGACGCCGATTGACACCGATACCAACCTGGGACTCATACGGCAGGAAGGCGACATTGATCTCCTTCAGGGTTTTAATAGCCCGTGCCACCCTGGATCTCCCGATCTTCGTGAAAAGGGCGTCTGGACAAACTGCAAGACACACAAAAACACATGTGCATCAAGGGATTAAAAGCAAGCTATTCCTGTATTATAGACAGGGATGCACATACCTGGTACGCAAGTACACATTCACCTCAAAGTGATATGCGTGAAAATTTCTTGTCGTAGCAGTTTTGACAAGAAACCACTGCGCATTTTAACTTTTGTGTGGCTAATTTGTGCTTCTTTTGCGGCATAAAGGCTAAACTGCACATTGATTTCTTGCCATAACAGCCTGAATGCACGTAATAAACACGCATTTGTGCTGCCACGAGAAACTGCTGCGCGTGTCGCTTTGCACGGCGAATGCGTTCTTCAGTACCAGTTAAGTGCATCCTGATTATCGATCAACCTATAAAGACAGCAGGACATTTCTTACTGTCAGTGAAGAAAACGTGAGCAGCTTTGTAGGTAAAGGCCTTTTCCTTGAAGTCATCGATGAGAGAATTGACCGACTGCATGAGGCAAAAATGGAACACAGGGTATAGGGGAGAAGCTTTCAGTGTTATTAACAATACACAACATATAGTACTTTATTTTAGAAATAGGTTGGCAACTGACAGAAGTAATTGCTCACAATTGTGTACCATCTATAGGTAACTGACATAACACCAAAGATAGTTGGTGAATAAAATCAGCAGTTGAAATTTGAACTTGAATTAAGTGATCAGTGGTCATCGTCGACACACCACAGCACACAACAATGAAATGCATCCTCTGCATTTAACCCATATGTGACAATGTGACATAGCAGGGGGCAGCTAATTCAGCGCCCGGGGAGCAGTGCTTGGGGGCGGTACCTTGCTCAGGGTACCTCAGTGGTGCCTTGCTGGTCGAGGATTCGAACCAGCAAACTTTAAACAAGTGTGCTTCCCTAACCATTAAGACACCACTGCCAATTGTGGCTGCCTGACAGGGTCGAGTTCCCCTTCCACCTTACCTTTTCCACAGGGGAGATGAGATAGATGGCCTCCAGGCTGGAGATGGGCTCTCGTCGCTTGCTGATGTCCTCCACAACTGCAAAACGTGAAGCGACACCTCGATCGGTAGCTCGTCACACCCAGTACGCAAACAACCCCTCCGTATTCTCATAACCACCAAACACAGTATGGGAGAAGCCAAACATAACTGAAGACCACCCTCAAAAAAACAGAGGCCTTAAACCCAGCCTGACCATCCACGCCAGGGCTCTTCAAATATGGACCTCAGTTCCAAATCCAGGCCAAGTTTTCAGTTAGTGTAATAAATTACTGATCCTGATTGGCCAGAGGCTTCACACCTGGCTCACCGGTAAAGGAAGGCCAGAAAATCAGCAGTGCTCAGCCCTTCAGGACCGCGATTTAAATAGCCCTGATCTACTGTTTACCTCAGCGGTTTTAAAATGCAACAATTAAACATGAAGTCTCCTAAAAAATAAAGCCAAAGAGCTATAAATGTCAAGCATAATGTAATTGTTCCACATTTAAAACAATCAAATGCCTGTAACAAAGACAAATTCCACCACAAACTAGATTACTGCCATTTGAATGACACAGACCCCGCAAGTCCCCTCCCAACCCCAGACGCATGCACAGAGACACAGACACACAGACACGCCCCCCAGGAACCCCACTCACTTGTGACCCCCTCTGCCATGATGTCAGACATCTTGCAACAAGACGACAGAATCCGCATGCTCATGTGGTCCACAATCAACACCTGGAGGGGGAAACAGGGAAGAGGGAGGCTCTGATTTCACCAACACAAACTGGCCTCCTGCTCACTCATTTTTTTTGTCCCCTTCATTGCATTAGCTGCCTCTTCCTTTGAAATCACTTTGATCACCCTTCCCAGAAAACGACAGAGAGAAGCGGAAGAAAAGAGCAGAGATAACATTCATGACCCAGGCACTCGATGAGTAAATCTGACGGCACACAGTCACACTGCAGAAACTCTTCCTACCTTCCATTCTCCATCCTTCTTCACACTTTTGATCACTCCATTCAGGATTTCTGTCAAGGAGAAAGAGGTCATGAACCCTGACGTCCCACTACAAAGCTGAATAAGAGCCACAATGAAACCCGATGGCTGTGCCTGCTGTCTCTCTGCCATTACTATCACGCAGCTGCTGCTTTTAATACCACTTTCATAAAGATGCTTCATGTTTCCTGAAATTTCAGCAGATCCGTGCCCATCCTTGGATTTTACCTTTTATGGACTCTCTGTACTTGTGGTTAATAACCATATAAATCATACCGCAAAACACTATCATCTTAAGTCGGTTCACCAATTAATAGAATTCTAGCACCATTAACCATATTGTTTTATTGATCATTTTATTTAAATGTCAAATGCTTGAGAAAAAAGGGGGGGGGGGGCGTTGGGGGTAGTCTTAGGCAAGTCTTTGGTTTGCTTTGGATTTGGGATAGTGACCCTGTATGTGATAAGCAGGTCTAGAAGAAGGAGCAATGGGGGGATGGTTTGAGTGCTTCAGAGAGACGTGGGTTGGCTGTTCTGCCTAGAGGAACTAATAGAGGAAAATGCACAAACTCAGAAATGAGGATTCCAAAGAGGGACTATGAAATGTCCAGTCAAATCAGCAGGAGTTTGCAGGATAGATATAGTTTGGACCCAATCAAAACTCTTTCGGTAATTTGGTATAAATTACTGCGATGCGGAACAAACCAAATTACAAAACAATGAGAAATGCCAGCGGGAGACAACAACCTTGTAAAACACTCATAGCTTTAAGTATGACCTTAAGAAAGACAAAAAAAAAAAAAAAACTTTCCATAAAGTCTTTAGTGCATGCACAGTGGGTGTTTGATTTTGCAAGCCCTTTTAAACAACACAGCCCAAAATTTGACACCCTTTAAAAATTAACCATAATCAACCACACCATCACGGCCACATACAGTACATGTGACCAAAAAACATATCAAAGACTTGAAAAAAAGAAAGAAAAAAAAAAAAGGCAAAGCAATATGTGAAACTAACTACACAAAGCTTGCATTAGTAAGTCATTAACTGCACTTTTCAGCAGTGCTTATAAATGGGTCTTTGGAGAAACTGAAAAGGGTTTTTCCGACAGATCCAGGGCGTTTTACTGCCAGCTTAACTGCCATGTGATAGCAAAACGTTTAGAAGCTCTTGCCAATATTTTAGTGTGCAAAAGAAAACTGGCTTTCTGAACTCTGACAGTAAAACATGGTGAATTTTTTTTAAAAACAGCACTCGTTATTAAACTTATAAACGGCCTATAAACAAAATGTTTAGTAACACACGAGTATACACAGAAAGTTAAATACGTATTGCACACATCAGTTAACAGGGAAAAAAGTACAAATTAGGCACAAGCTGTCATGACTTCTGCACAGTCCAGATCCAGTCCACACCTATTGCATCTGTCCTCCACTTGGACTAAAGTGTAAACTGACATTTCCAAAAAAATGAGTTTAAATAAATGGCCAACAGCCAGATATTAACAAAACATTATTAACTGCAAATTTAAACTGTGAAATAAGCAAGATTTTATGGTAATCTAGGAAACTGACACACATTATTTTAATACGACATTACTGAGATGGTGTGTGTAACTTTGTAAAGGACAAGAGAAGCATTGGCTCACAAAAATATACCGGCTGGGCAACACCCAGCGCTTAATCAAATGCGCTTTACACCATTAAGTCTTCAAAAGTCAGCCAAGAAATAGGTAACAGTGTTACTAACTTGCATGACTATAAACTAAAATAACCCATAAGATTTGCAATAAGACAATTTTGATCAGCTGTTGATATCGTTTTGAGTAAAGCTTCTTTTGAAGCAAATAAGGAAGTCTATGACTGCTGTATTGACCGAGGCACTTTGCTAGGCACCTGTCGCGTAATCAACGTCAACAACGTGCTTGCAGTTAATAAAAGGCCCCAAATGAAATTGCTCCTTTGCTTCGCTTTGCACGAACTTACAAAGCGGACGCCACGATAATTTGCATTAAATCACTGGTCACTTACTTTCTCCTACCACTACCTTCAAGCCACTTGGAGCCATCTTGCCACTTCCGTGTTGTCGTATTTAATTTTTTTTTCCACTGCAGTGTGTAAATGTATCAGCGCGGTGATGTCACTTCCGGGGACCAGGTAGGTAGTGATGTCACTTGACCACTCGGTTTTGCTTGTCTTCTGTAATGTGGCTGATAGTCATCTTACTAATTACCTAAGTTAATTGATACCAGTATTACAGCACTTTACTTTCCCTATGATGTTATTTTAGAATACTTGTCTTTAGAATCTCTCAATAGCCCCATATAGTATTAACTAATAAAATATTCTGCCCATTATTTGTGAGTTTTTATAAATTTATCTCCTGTATTTTAACTGCAACCTCCCTATCTATGTGAGAGATTTTTGGCTAATTTTTAAAGCTTGTATTGTTTAGTATGCATAATAGTAGGAAACCATGCATTTATATAATTCTTATATAAATGAAATACATTTAAATAATTGTGAAAGATAGTGTTATCCCTTCTGTGTATCGCTATTGGCCCTAACAGATGAATGATTAGACCCAGATATCCAGATTGCAGCACGTCTCATCTTGATCCAGGACACTGATACAATCACCCACCTCCAACAACTGGAATTCCAGACCACAATCTGGGCTAGACATTTGCCTGTGCTGTGTATGGTATGTTTTGGTGATTTTGCTTTTTGTACAAAATATTTTCCAATAAAATAACTTAAGGGTCTTCTTTAAAGTGGCCAAGTAATATTTCCCATATTTGCATTGTTAAAATATTCTTGAAACTATTATAATTTGCTAAGCATTGAATTTCATGTTGATTCCAGGTTGCTCTGAGTACTGCCAGCTGAGAGAAACCCATTTGTGGTATGGGGTGGAGTGTTCATTCATATTCCCCACCAATCATTTATCCTTTTAAACCATGATCATGACAATGATCTCTTCTCTGCTTTGTGAGGTACTGTACCCTATCCCTTAGATCACAGAAGGGATCCTGCTGAATCATTTTGTAGTAGGATACTTGAATTGCATAATAATATATATATCCAACTCTTTAAATTAGTCACTTTTATTAAAAGCATCAGCTAAGAGACTGAAATTACTTTGTCACTGGTTGTTTTCAGGACACGTATCTTCTTTCATTACCTATTTTGTAAGTGACCCAGTCTCATCAATCTGCCCTGTCCTACATAGAGGGTGAGCCCTTCATCTGGTTTAACGTGGTTCAGACAAAGAGATAAGCAGGTTGTATCCTCACACCATCACGCTCATTGTGTTTGGCAGCTGTCATTCCAGGTTAGGGCATCCAAAAGAGTAACTTGTATCTAAATTTCAAAGGCCTATATTGATGTGGTTTCCTATTTCACAGGAAGATGGTTTGCATTGCATTGTTTTCTGAATGGTGCATTTAGCTAGTTAAATATTGTGTATTTGCATGCATATGGAGTCAAAATACCCTTGATACAGGCTCTGCACCACACCGTGAGCATCCACCTATGTGTGTCCTACCCTGATCACTGATATTCCACCTTCATCCTTTCAGCTGTAGCACCCAGTCTGCCACTCGTCAGCTGACAGTGCAGGCCATACAAAAATAAGCCTGAAACAAAGAGAATAGGTGAGGTTTGCTCTGCCTCCTACAGTGTTTGCAGGAACTTAAAAAAACTCGTAGATGGCAGTGTTCCTGAGAATTTCTGGATTGGACGGACAGAGAAACAAAACAGAGATTTTACCAAGATGGCTGCTGAGCTGGCCTGCACCATGCCAATAAAATACATAAACTTTGTATCTGTTTTGATCAAGCCTATGTGCTCATGCAGAGGAACACTGCTGCTTCACTGTGGTTTCGCCCTATAAGCCAGCTGTTTGCATCCCCATCTTGAGGACCACCCAGCCAGTCTGTAATTCTGTACTATTACACCAGCTGCACAACATGACTAATGCAAGGAAGAGTGTCCAAGATTGTTAAGAGATTGGACAGAGTGTTTATAAGAGCTGGCAGATGACATCAAGGGAAGAGAGAGAACAGCATGTTGTACCCTAGGACACCAGAGGTGGCGCTGACCATCTTGCTGCACTTGAACGTCTTTCTCCACTGCACTGTACCCTGCAGGGTTTTCTTCATTGTGGATCGCATCACTTTATGCGGAGTCAAATTGCGGTTTGCAAACCCCTCCCACATTACACGCGTTACAAATCCGAAGAGGCATCCATACATGCGAAGGCGGTTCTACGCTTCATATATCATGAGGTATTCCCCAGGTGTAGGCCCATGGGTGATTCTTGGCTATGATTATTCATGAACTGAAGTCCCTCTTAATGTCGCAGTTTAGTTTAAAGCTGCCAATCGGCAGCCACACTTTGCAGAAGATCCAGCTGGTGATCCTGGGCCAAGTTGACCAAGTCATCCCCCAGCAACTGAGCACTATATCTGGAGACTCCAACTCTCACTAAGCCCCAAAATCAATTAAGTAATGATACTTGATATCGGTGGTATCCAGCACCACACCACATACGGCACACTTAACATTTATCATTGTTAATAATTTGACTGTTTGCATCGTTAACCCATCCGTGCTCTAGGGCTTGTATAACTAAGCAGGATTTCTTGCTCAGTCAGTTAACTTGTTGGATTTAAGGTAGACTGGGCTAAATGCAAGTGAACAAAGACGGAGTCAGTTTAAATCTGACAAGTTATCCGGCTAAACCAGCAATCCAGATTCATAATACAGGCCCCTGTTCTCTGGTTGTTATATGTCACTGCAAGCACCATGCTAAGACATTATATTATATAATATTTCACAGATACATTCTGGTGAAAACATAGCACACATTTTCACAATTTACAATTTTAATTTTTACACCACCACCTTAAAAAAAGGAGGAAAATAACTTTATATCACCATGGCTTCAAGACCACATAGGTTTCAATTTTAAAAAATAATCAAAATATAACATACACCAGAAGTACAAAATGTACAAGGGATGAGGGTTGCCATGTCCAATCAAACATCCATTATTCAGGGGATCTTTATGGCACCAGTGTGCCAGGACCTGATGCCTCTTTTCTCCGTCCTCAGTTCCTCCCCTGATGACCTTCAAGCTCCATAAAGCAGGAAGGCCTCCCTCTTCAGCTTCCTCCTCCTCCTCACTCCTCGGTTGCCAGTCCCACCTGCTTCAGCAGCCGCTGCTCCCTGCGCTCTCGCATGCGCTCCTTAAAGGCCTCCAGCTCCTTCCTCTGTTCTCCCAAAACAGACCCAGTCACCCCTTTCCCACTCCATAGCCCAGATGCCAGGCATTCAGCCTTTTTGTACAATGCATTTCTTTGTGATATTATTACCCTCCCCATCTGTATTACTCAGGGAATTCATTCTACCCATAAGAAAGACAATCCATGTTTATCATCTCTATTCATCAATAGTGTATGTGATACAGGAAATGCTTCACGTGCCCAAGTAAACATCTACTTTGCTAATGTTTTCACTGCTAAACATTTACCCTGATTTCCTCATCCGGTGGGTAGATCTCCCTCTTCAGGGTGACGGCAGGGCCAGACAGTGATTTTCAAGGGAAAGAAACATGAAAATTAGGACATTCCTCAGCCTATGAAACATATTAGATTCAGTGCACAGGTGAGATTGACTCAGAATGTCTCTTATTTTATGCTATCTATCAGTCCCATGCAACTCAAGATACAAGACAGGGGTCTAAGCTCATGACAGCACATATACACACACCCACACTATGGGCAATTTAAGGATGCTAATTCACCTAACTGCTTGTCGTAAGAGTGTCTGAAGAACCACAAGCGACACAGGGAGAACGTGCAGAATTCACACACACAGTGTGGGGGCAGGATGTGAACATTGAACACAGGAGGTGCAAATCGCCAGTGTTATCAACTGAATCACCCTGTCACAGTGCCTCACTACCATCCAGTAGCAGCCTTTTTCATTGCAACACAAAAAGAATGTGAACAAAAATATGATTCATTGCAGTGTATAAGACAGATGTTGAGAAGTTAATTACAGACTCCCAGAGAGAATGCTTCAAAGTAACAGCAATATCAGACATGAAGCACGCCACTCATCTAGATGGGAAACACATCGGTCCAGATTATAAAACGGAAAGGGGGAAAGGTGGAACACTGACGTCACACACACCTTCCTTTTCACCACATACTCCTCAAAGTACTCCGCCTGATTTGAGATCCAGAACATGGTCACAGGAAAAGACAGGTACAGCATCATCTAGGGGAAAACCCGCGTTGTCAACACTCACAGATCACTTTCAATGAAGCAGTGAGATCAAATTGTATAAATACATGTATTTATACGGGTATTTATACAATATTTCCAAAATAAAGTAAATTATACAATATAATATATTTCCATATTAAAAAATATACAATATTTCCTAAATAAAATATTACATTTTAGTTGGATAAACTTTATGAAATTATCATAATACTTTATAATTTTACAGAACAATTAGTAACTTAACCGGTGTTAGTCGTTACGTGTTACGTTACGTGACCAGCAATCACACGGTTATGGATAGCAATTCTAGCGGCCATAAACTGTATAAACTGATCTCCATAAACTGTGGCTACATATGTACAATATTATATCATTCGTTTATGCTTCTTCGGTCTGTGTATAAATAGAAAATTTACAAAGGTTGTGCACAAACGATCAAATTATTTCATATACATACCCGGAAAATTTCTATTTTGACTCCCATGGCTGTAACCTTGACTGCACTTCCGGTATAACCTGATCTAACTGGCTCTCGGTAAATGTCATTCCCGAACACGTCCAATCAATTTTACAGAACGGGTCATTGAGGCGGGTCTATGTAATGCGGCGGGGACGCTGCGAATCCAACGTGAATTGGTGCGAAACGTAACCTACGTTCGCTGCTTGTGGTGGCCCGTGTTAAATATGTATTTATGCAAATAATTATTTGTTGAAGTTATTTTATTTCGTTCTTGTCGCTGCTAGTAGATGCTTTCTGGTATCGGACAAGAAGGTTACCAAGTGTATTAACCTCTTGATAAACCGCTGAAAAAATATTCTTGTCCGTCTCTTTGTACCTAAACAAATATTTTTTAAGACGTTTTTCTGAGGATTGGGAGCTAAAGGGCCTTTTGTTTTGAGCCGTTTTGACCGCGGCGGAGACGTCAGGAGGGCGCAGGGATTGAGCTCCAATCCGGAGACAAGTAACCCGAGCGGACCTGCGAGGTACAGCCCTCTGCGGACGGACGGTGTTCTCCCCATCGCGATTGAGACGGGAGATCCTCAAGCCCTGCACCAAGTCCTCGGCAGTTAACAACATGGACAACCGAGGCTTCGGCACAGGTAACGTATCCAGGGATCGTGTCCCTGGGTTTCTTGCTTTTTTTGGGGGGAGGTGATGAGTACTTTGTTTTCGAGATCCCCCAGTACGTTTTTTCGGTCTTTGGGCGATAATAACCCACAGGTCTCCTCTCCAGCTCCTTAAGCAAAAAAAAAAAAAAAGCCAGCACAATTGTCTCAAATTAACCCTATTAATAGGCTAAGGAGCGGTTCGCTGCTCGGTAGCCGGTTATAGACGGTTGCCCCCTCCCCTCCCCCGTGTTGCGTACATCTTGGCTGCCAAAGGTACACTTAGTTAACGTATAACGGGAGTTTATGGCAAACAAGGGCTGCAGGGCACGTTTCCTATATGTCCCGGACATGTTATTTGCCTCTACTACCAAAACACAGTTTTTGCTAACATTATCCAATCCTGGACGGAAACCCCTCGCGGGATGATATACAGCTAAACACAGGTCTGCTTTTTCGGGCCCTTGTGGTATGTCAGATGGTAGTCTGGCATCTGCTCGCCTAATGTTTGGAGAGCGTTTTCTCCATTGTGAGCGTTAAAATGGAGTCAGTAGGCATCGGAGTAAAATGGCCGCCGTGCTCCCGGCCGCTGTGGCGACGGCCCCTTTAACTGGCGGCTCGCGACATGATTTCCCCATCTCGAGACAGGCGGCTCGTGAGATGATCGTGAGATTATCATTATTGTCTATATTATCCATAGCGTGTTTCAACACGCCATCATTTGCACTGCATATCCCCAGCACGCAGTACTGTAATCACTCACAAAAGCAGGCAGCTCTGCACTTGCACGCTGTGGATAAACGTGACAGTTAAAATACAGAGGAAGCACTTAAATCTATTGACTGAACATAAGCGGCAAGGCCAGAGGTGGAAATAACCTGCTGAACGATCTGTGTCATGTATAATCAGTTACCTGGTTAATATAAATTGGCAAGTATTAAGGTTTAACTAAAGTAGTGCATCAATGAAAGGAATGTAGTTTCTGCTAGTGCGTGCTTATATTCCATGCCAAGCTTTCATTCTAAAGCACATCATTTTACAAAATGTATTTATAGGGCTGTGGTATTGAACCAGCAGTTAAATTGTGTTGTTTCGCCTCTCATTTTAGGCTTTTCGAATTGGGGCCGTGGGAACTCTTCCAGCAGGGGTAAGGGTATTTGAAAATGTACAGATAATTCCCTTATATCAGAGTGATAGGTATTGTCATTTGTTAATGTGAACTCTCTCATTTCCAGCACATCATTTTAGATTTTTACCGAATCAATGGATTTAATCTCCTGTAGAGATTATAATGTTTATGGTGTGATTCCTGTGTATTTAAAAATGTGTGTTCCTCACCGCTGCCCCCTTCAGGCTCAGATAATTATGGTTCACACGGCTACAAAGACTCCTTGTCTGGAGGCGGGGGCTTTGGGGGAGGCTACGGCAGCGGCGGTGCGGGACTGATGAAGAGGGGCTTCGGCGGGAGCTCGGTGGCCTCGCCCACGGGCACAAGTGCTGACGCCGTCATCGCCAAGATCAACCAGCGCCTGGACATGCTGACCCAGATGGAAGGGGGGATGAAGAGAGGGGGCCGCAACGATAGGTAACGCAGGCCGACCATTGACCCCCACACGGCCTCTCTCGAAGTTCACCTCCTCCCATTCCTTACTTCCTCATGACACCACGTAGCCTCATACCTTCCCCATTCTCCGTCGTCCCCAGAAGAAGCTGGCTATGTTCCAACCCTAGGTCGGCTTGTACCCATTCTCACCCTCTGCTTCACACGGCAACTTAGAAATCAGCCTATAGTGGTGAGCTTAGACAGAGAGACCGTCCCCATAACCCTATCCAGACTACACCTACTATCAAGAACTCCTTTGTGATAGCCAACACATCTTGGGTGAAATTATTTGGTGGGGTGGAAGGGTGTAGGTCACACACGACCAGTGAGGTTCTATTTTACAATGTACATCTCATTGGGTTGCTAATTGAAGAGTAATAGCCATTTTATAGGGAATTGGCTTTCAGATGCCAAAACTTGAGTCTAAATGACCAATGAGCCATCGGCTTGCCAGTGACATTTCTCCTGCATGCTTATATCTGACTAAAAATTAAGCAGTGTGTGCTTATGTCTGTGTGTCTGGGTGTGTGTGCGATAGATACTTGTTATTGATAGATGTGGTAATGATGATAATGGGGACCCTTGTTTAAGGTAATCTGTACTTTAGTTGTTCTTTCACCTAGACCTCATATTATTGTTGACTGACATGGCTTCTCATAGCTGTCCACTTGTTTGCCTTTGCTCTCTCCCATAATGCATCTCATGGCACTTTTCTCAGTTTTGGCGTACCGCAGCATATGTATGATAGCA